AAGTGGAGAGAGATGTGGTAGCTGATTGGTGAATGTCTATTCTAGGGCAAGTCGCAACATATCCATCCACTGTAATAAATCAGTAGGGTTTTAAATGCATCTATGGTGAGGTATACAGTCCAGCCTGACCATGTCTGTAGGTAGGGCTCCATAGGGTTCCTATCACCGGCTATCAATATTTCCATTGTTAATCTTATTGGCAAACCATTGACGGCATTTTCCCCAGTTTTGGAAGTCAAGCTTGTGATGGTTGCCATAAATCCAGGTCATGGCATAGCTAGTAGTAGTCACATTCAACTGGACATGTCTTCAACATCACAAAACAAGTCCAGTTTGATGGTACTAACTACTTCTACTTCTAGCTATTGAATGAAGGTGTTGAGCTCTTAGCTGGCCATGTACATGGCAATTATCAGTCAACTGCAACCATTTCTTCATCCACTGGGAATCGCAAATATGATGGAAAGTAAGCGCCAGGGACTGAGCAATCTACCACAGTGCCCTCCGAAGTGCGGTCACCAAAGGGAAACATCCATAATCTGCCCACGGCATCAAAGAGGACATAAAATGAAGACATAAAATGGTGGTTTTGAGTGACCAAAAGTTGGGTGGAAATTGTCCCTATCGAGCCGGCCAGGCAAATCCAATTGCTGTAGTTTTCTCAGTATCTGATTTTATAATAGTCTATATTAAAATTATTAATGTCTTGTTTCGCTATAGACTGGATTCTGGCGGTCCATCAAGCTCTAGGGTGGTGGATTGCCTAATTTCTGGTGATCTTATGTGCGATTGCCGGTGGATAGAAATTGGGTGAAGATTGCTACGAGTATGGTATGGTGGAGAGTGTGCTTTTTGGAGATGGACCCCCCAGCGCCCCATTGAAACCTTCTGCTCTATACCTCCTTATCCATCAAGATCTGACCACTGACAGTGAAAGAAGCAGCAAAATCAGGCACTGTGCTGACTTACCCTGCACAAATAGCTCTTACATATCCATCCACAGGAACAGTCTGTGGTCAGCGGTCACCCCCTTCATGCGACCTCCTCTGGCAATTGACTGATCCGCCCCACCTCCGAGGCTCGGGATTTATGAGGCTCAGCAGTAATAGGATTACCCTTCTCTATCTCAAACGGTAATCTGATAGCCCATCTGGGGACATCCATAGTGCATCACCGAGAACGCAGTCCAGAAGATACCTCCGTTCCGTGGCTTTCTATGAGAAGGTTCACAACTCATTGATGAATTTTTAGAATGTGCTGGAATCCGATAATACAGAAAAGCTTTCCTCTGGGACATGAGGCTTTTATTGTCAGTATTTAAAGTATACAAAATGTATAAATAAAGTTTACAATAAATAAGATCTTCCTTAAGAAACTGCATCAGACACATAATATGCGGCTTGTGGACACCTGACCAGAACATCTATATGAGCTTGTTGGACATCCCATTCCAAAACCATGGCCATTGATATGGAGTTGGCCCTCCCCTCGTGGACATTATTATAGAGTTGCTCCCCTCTCCCCGTGTCCATTAATATGAAGTTGCCTCCCTTTGTGGCTACAACATCCTCCACTCCTCTGGGAAGACTTTCTACAAAATGTTGGAAGTTGTCTATGGGAATCTGGGCCCATTTGTGAGGTCAGGTACTGGTGTTGGATGAGAAGACCCGGCTCACAATTGGCTTTCTAGTTCATCCCAAAGTTGCTCAGTAGGGTTGAGGTCAGGGCTCTGTGCCGGACACTGAAGTTCCCCAACCAAACTGGTCACGCCATGTCTTTATGGAGCTGGCTTTGTACACGGGGGACAGTCATGGGTGGAACAGAAAAGGGTCTTCACCAAACTGTGACCACAAGGCTGGAAGAGCCCAATTGTCTACAATGTCTTTGTATGATGTAAAATTAACAGAACCTTCACTGGAGACCCCAGAACTATCATTTAGAGGGTGTCTGTGGGAATTTGTCCCATTTGTGAGGTCAGTACTGATGTCGGATAAGAAGACCGGACTCACAACTCATCCCTAAGGTGTTCTGTAGTTCACCTATGGCATGAATTGGAATGCCAATTGTGAATCAGGTCTTCTGGTCCTGGGGTTCCACCAGAGGTTTCTTAAGTAGAGAGCATGACTCTGCTGTCTACCAGTCTTCCTCTGCTCTCTTCTGGAAACCTGGAGGAACCCCAAAATGAGAACACCTGGCTCCATTTCATACAAAGGTGGTCAGAAGGGTTGAGGTCAGGGCTCTATGCAGGACACTCGAGTTCCTCCGCTGGTCACACCATGTCTTTATGGAGCTGGCTTTGTACACCTAAACCAATAATCCCTATGGAACATCTACTGTATATTACATAAGGTGTTCCATAGGGTTGAGATCAGGGCTCTGTTGTGGAGAAACTTGAGTGGCCTTCACAAACTGGTCACACCATGTCTTTATGGAGCTGGCTTTGTACACGGGGGACAGTTATGTTCAGTGGGGTTGAGGTCAGGTTCTGATGTTGGATGAGAAGACCTGGCTGGCAATCAGTGTTCCAGTTCATCCCAAAGGTGCTCAGTAGGGTTGAGGTCAGGGCTCTGTGCGGGACACTCGAGTTTCTCCACCAAGCTGGTCACACCATGTCTGTATGGAGCTGGCTTTGTACACAGGGGACAGTCATGGTGGAACAGAAAAGGGTCTTCACCAAACTGTGACCACAAGTTGGAAGAACCCAATTGTCTACAATGTCTTTGTATGATGGAGGATGAACAGAACCTTCACTGGAGACCCCTGAACTCCATCATTTGGAGGGCGGTCCGCATACTATTTGCCATGGTCAGGTGTTCACAAACCTTCGGCCATATACAGTATAACATTTTAAAACATATTCAAACATTTAAAATGTTGAACTTCCCATCACTTTGTGATCTGTCCAGGACACATAGAGAGGGTGAATCTTCCCTGAAGGTACACATAAAACAATAAAACCCTAACAGAGGGTCCAACCCTTCCACGCTGCATCTAAAACAATATAAAGTTTCGGTTTCAGATACATTTTAACACTTAGCAAGTAACCCGACTGTAACATTTAACCCTCCCAGACGTCATCCAATACTAGAAGAAAAGTTTGGGCCTCAGCTTCACTGTAAAGTTGAACTCCAGGGAATTGATATGTGGGAGCCGTATGCAAAGGGAACCCAGGCTGAGCTTTGTGAATGCAAACGGGGGACGGAGACACAACGCAGCAGTATGTGTGTTGGTGGGGATGGAGGGGGCATGTGAAATGAAATGTCACAGCGCAGAGGTAAAGAGCTAATAATACCTCCACACATCAAAATCATGGTGCCTGCAATTCAGCTTTAACCCTTTTGCTGGCCCAGACAGAAGTACTACCCTCATCATGTATCCCGGAATCCACTGCCCCTCCCGTGGGCCCCGGGACGGCCAATTTCAGATAGGTAGAGTGGAGGGAGCTCAGCAAACATCCACTTGTTGATCTCCTCTCTGATGCATCAACCCGGAAGCGACGAACATTAAGGGGGTTATTCACTAAAGAGCTGAAGGATCCAGCGGTAGCTTCGACTGATCCTTCGGCTCGCTTCGGCCGCCTCTGGTTCAGTCGGACCGAAGGGCTATATTCACAATATTCGCAATAGCCCGTGCAGCAGCCGAGCCAAAGGCATATGCTTTGGATCTGCTGAGCCAAAGTGAAACCCGAAGCGCGGAGAAAGGTAGGCCGAAGCGCAAATGACAGCTGGGCGGAGTCAGCCGTGATCTCACAGCTCACTCCGCCCAATTGTAATGACAGATCAGCGACCTCAAATGACCCGGGGGCGGTGATCAGTCAATAAACAATAACAACTGGGCGGAGCCAGCCGTGACATCACTTTGTGAGTAACCTCCTTCCTCACTTCCGTTTTCTGTGCTCGATCCGCGTACATTGGGGCCCGTAGGTGACATCAGGGGGTCTAACGTTAGGGGGCGGGACTGCTGCGGTGATTCTACGGCTCCCGGCTGTTCATTCTGAACCGTATCTCCATTTTTATAAACATCTTTATGTTCTCATCGTCTATCTGCTTTTCCAGCGCGCTAAGCGCTCTCTCGCCGCCATCTTTATAGAGATCCAGCAGCTCCTCCGCGTAGGCGATCCAGACGCAGTTATGGCAGCCGCTCATGCAGCAGTGGGTGGGTGGAGGCGGGATCGGCGGCTCGGTTGAACCCTCAGAGTCTATAAGGGCCGGCTCTCTGTTCTGCCGGAGATCGCTGCTTGCCGTGCTGGCAGAGTCTGGGCTCCGTGAAGTCGCGTCCTCCCCACCGGACCGGCCGGTGGAAATGGCTTTCCTCCCGCATGAGATGGATGCTGAAGATGCGGAATGAGGGATCCGTCTAAGAAGGGAACTCAGAATCTGCAAGACATCGGAAACACAAATTCCTGAGACATATATCTATATATATACCGTATATATCTATAAAGGACAATTTAATTTCACTTATTTCCTATGCTCCACACCCCCAACTAGTGGCCATAATGTGGTATTACATTACGTTTGACCTGGCAAGAAAATATACTAAGAACGTTCGTTTTTGCCTCTATTAGCACATAACGAATGTTCAGAGAGATTCGCAGGGTGATAGACTTGGCGGGCAGCGTGTAATAGACTTGTAGAAGACACAGACATGGACCAGTGGAATGTGAAATATAATATCGCTTCTATTGCTTTTGCCAAATGATTGAGGCAACAACAGAGTCACTTTAAGATAAATAGATATGCAAAAAAGGAAAAACAACTCATAAAAGAGGACAGCTTCCCTTTCAGTCCCGATAGCATTACCATAGCAACAGCCTTTGCTGCGCAGGAGGGCACCCCGGTGACCCCTTTTCTTCTCTGACATTGCCAGTCGGAAATGACGTCAGGACCAGCTTCTCCCGAGGACTGCCAGTGTCAAATATGGCGGTGTTGCCAGCGAAGCCAATAGGGCGATTGCATAATGACGTGTGATGAAGGCGCCGGAAGAGCGGGTCGTGTCACACGTGTTGTGTGTACAGTGCGGAGCTGCAGCGTGATGGCGAAGAGGCCGACGAATAAACTGGCTGGACCGGCTGGCCGGGCCGTTGAGGGCCCTGGACGCCCCCGCGGGTTGGTGACTGGTGCAAGGCTGCGTGTGGGGGGCGATGGAGCACATGTGTGTTATATTTGGTGGTAGCAAGCTGTTTGTGATTAGCTATGTATGAGGCTTCGTCTAATACAGAGCTAGGCGACCATGGCATCCTAGCTGTTGTGGAACTACAAGTCCCATGATGCATTGGAAGACTGACAGGCATTTGTAGTTTACCACAGTTGCAGTGCTGAGGTTGCCTGTCACTGGTCTAATAAATTCAGTATTGTCGTCTTTCCCTGATTTGCAGACATTGTCACCTCTTTGGGCGGCAGGTGGATGGGTGGGTAGCGCTGGTCTTGCAGTACTGGGGTTTTGGGTGCCATCACTACAAGTAAGACAACCTGCATGGGAGGATTATGTACCTATCTGTCCAAGTTTTCTTTGGGTGGTCTTCGTTTTAATCCAAATCCAACATACTAGAAGGTTAATTGTCTGTTATTATGGTTATTATGTTGTTTCTTGCCGTAGTGACCCTTTAATTATTTTCTTTGCTTCTAGAAAGGTGAAGAAAAAGATGAATTCCAAACCCAAGGACTTGGACACCCAGGAAATCCCTTTTAAGCTTCGAGAGATTATGAAGAGCCGGATTCAAATGAACAAACCGAAAGGAAAGAAAAAGAGGAAGCCAGGTCTGCTGGATGTAATGGCCACTATGGCGGAAGGGGAGATTTTTTTTGTCACCTGTAGGAGATAATTCTCATCTTCCAGGTTTTTGGGGTCTCAGGACTGCAAGAGCAAAAATTCTTTAAAGCAGAATTCTGGACAGAAATGTACTTAAACCCTTTTAGTGGTGGCAGCTGTGCTCCCACTACAAAGGTTACATGCTTGCGTTAAAGGAGAACTATGGGGTTGGGGCTTTTCCCCATATTTCTCCTAAGGGTAACGGGAGGACACAAACTAGCGCCCTCCCGTCACCCAAAGCTCAGTATACCGCGAGCTACAGCTCCCTGTATACCGAGACCGCCGCAGCCGGAGCGGATCCCGACAATTATGTCTGGATCCACCCAGCTGTGTGAGTGACAGCTGGCTTTGCCTATCTAGAGGCAGAGCCAGCTGTACCCTCCCCTTTCCCCCGTCCGTTCCGCCAGTCAGCGCTTGATGATCGCACGGGAGGGGGGAAATCCCTGCAGGGAGCCGTGAGTGACAGTCACGGCTCTCTGCAGGGACAGGATTGAGAAGCGAGCGATGCTGTGTGTTCGCTCACCTCCCGATCTATTGAGCCGAGCTGCGACCGTTGCATTGTCACAGGTCGGCTAGAACTATGACGCTGAGTGATTATCTCTCGCCTCATAGTTCTCCTTTAATCTAGGTGCTAAAATAACAAAGTTATTTTCATTTGATCTTAAGAGCCAGCCAGCTGTGACAGCACTCC